ACAGTAACACTGATCGAGTTGTGCGTCTCACTTCTTAATCTTGTCATTCTGTTTGTGAAGTTGCTGTTTTTGCTGCAGCGTCTCCTCCAGCAGACGCAGGTAGCGGTCCTCCAGCTCATCCCTGGACATCTTCCCAATATTCTGCTTCTCCAGGGCGTGCTGATGCACACTCAGATCTGCAGGTGGAAACAGGATCAACACCTTTACCGACGTCAGACCTCAGCCAGGGTATTTCACATTTCAATAAAAGGAAACAGCAGACATTTTAGAGATAACTGAAAATACACTTCAATGCATAAGTCCAGCTGTTGGTTGAACTTTTAACAGTAGAAACAGGAACTGTACATATGTAGGCATGTCACAATAACAAATATTGCTGGACGGTTAATTGTCCCAGAAGAAACGATATTATTGTTGTTTTGAGACCGTTTTAAAGTAATATAATGGTAATGTTACAATAATGAAAGGACACATTCTCAAAGATCAATAAACTTTAAATTCTAACAAACATTTAACACTGGAACTGGAAGACATTTTAAATATCCAAAATAAACCAGACGGATGAGTTTTGTCATCCAGTTTTTGGTTGGAAAAAAGAGAGAAAAGAGAAAAACAATAAATTATGCAAATAATAGAAATTACTGGGCTCATTTTAATTTGTCATGTGATTAATTGATTAATTGTGACAAGTCTACACATATGTATGTGCACACGTTATCCAGGAGGCGTGACGCACTTTGTGGAGCGGCGGTGAGTCGGGACAAGTTGATGGTCATGTCTCTGACCGGGAGGTCTGAAGCCGTCTCATCGAGGACATACGACATGTTCCACTCTGAAAACAAATACAGCCTTCTTTAAATTCTCAGGTTTCAGTCACAGACATCATCCAGCTGCAAACATTCAGATTTATATAAGATTTCTCTGTAGACAGTTTTTGCTGCAAACCTCTGAACTAGCTCCAACTCAGCCTCTGATTTGCAAAGCAAACAGCAGAAACAGCACTGGGGTTGAATAATTATTGCAAAGTTTATCATGATTTCATAATCAAGATGCTTTTTATCATCACTTTTATTGCTACTGAAATAAATACGTTAAAATATTGTGACAAGATTTTAAGTCCACATCATCCATCCCTAAATAGCACAAGCACACCACAGGTCAAGTTCAGGAACTACAATAAACACAAACATTTCAGTTTTTTTGACCACCCTAACTTTCTGCTATTTATTTTTTAATTTCATACATGATTACATCTGATAAGAAGGCTTGCTGGTTCCACCATTTCTCCTTCAGGTACACTTGTGCATTACTTTCCAGAGTTAATATACTTTAGTTATAAAATGTTTAATAATGACAGGGTTTATGAGATGAGGCTGGATTATGTTCACTAGTTTTTGTTCATTACAAAAACTATAGGCAACAATATCAAGAACTAATATTGATGTGATTTCATTTGTGATTTCATATCTAATTACATACTTTACTATTTTGTAGTTCTAAATGTGTACTGTAATAAAAATAAGCAATCTGAGTACAACTTTACAGTCTCCTTCACGTCAAATTGAACAACATTAATGTGTTACAGACAGATTTTGTCATAAACTTTCCACAAAGCTTGTCTTATTATGTCTTTCTTGTAACAACATTTCAGAATAATACGTTGGAAAGTTTGTTAATTTCCTTATGGAGGCACATTTGTAAGAACAATGCCTTTGTGGATTGAACAGCGAGTTTATTTTGAGGGTTGTGCTCTCGAGAAACTTGCCAAATCCTCTCTGGCAGGTCAAATGGATGAATAACTCCATAAATCCATTTGACCTGGATTTATTTCGATTAAATAAAACGATATTTGGATGAATGGATGATTAATGGAACCTTCAGGAAAATGACACAAATATTTTATTTTTCATTTTACTATATTTTCTCATGTCATATCCTGATCTGTAAACATCTTAATAAAATTCCAGAAATATTCCAGAGTAAATGGTTTATTCAAGTTTATCTCCATCAGACTGAAGCTAACGTCGAAGCTAACGGTATTACTCAATCACCTATTTAAGGTCAAATATGACATTTTTAACACACATAAGTGTATGTGTCACTATAATGTACCACCTTTAGTATCCTGACTACTTTTTAATAGCTTCTTACCTTTAAAAAAGACTTTATTCCGCTCAGAGTCACGGTTGCTATCGAAAACAACCGTTTATGTCGCTATGGTACTAGAACGCATGCGCAGAAGTGTAAAGCCTTCTGGGAATTGTAGTCTTTTCTTAAATAATGTCTCAGCCTTTCTTTTTTGTGATTATGCAGTTTTAAAGGATTGAAATAGTGATGTTAAGTGATATAAAGCTCTTAAAGCGAACAGGAATCTAAATAAACACAGTTCAAAACTTTGTGTGACTGTGCAAATAGGCTGTGTTTGTGTTTGTTTATGAATATTTGTGTATCTCCTTCATCTCCTGTGATTTCCATCATGTTTAAGCCATGACAGCCTGACAGTTTGTACATGCACATGTGAGCAGCGTGATGCAGAGGCGACTCGCTGCCGTATCACACAGTCTGACAGGTCGGCTGTCAGATCCCTCTCATGAATCTCAGATGGATCTAATTTTGCATCCTGAGATGAGCAATCCGGCTGGAAAGGATGAGTTTTCTCCACATGTCAGACTCCATTGGGCCGTGACACAGTGTGCTGTAACCTTTGACCCCTCCCCTCTTCTGGTAACGCAGTGAAATCTGTCAGGGAGTTGGTCTGCCGTTCACATTCATGATCCCCACCAAGCTGGTGTTCAGCAGGCCATGCACGGGTCCGTGCAGCAGCTGTCAAGTGCATGATCAGACGAGCGTGCAGGACCTCCGTACCGTCAACTCTACCCCCATATTCTAATATAGGCAGATTTCCCCAAAGCATATGGCGTCAGGCTGTTTATTCAGATTCACAAAGAGAAGGGAGGCAGGCAGGTCTGAGCATGTTATTCTTCTATGGGAGAGGGAAAATGTTGGTGTCTGCAGGTCCAGAGAAACCCAGGCGTCGCTGAGCGTAAACAGACTTAAAATAATATAAAAAACATGCAAGGTGACCAGAAAGAGATGGAAGCAATTGGAATATTAAGACGCTTAAAACAAGGAATTAAAAAGAAGGAATTGCAGACAAGTCGTCTCTTCTCTGGGTTTCATTCTTTTTCAGTGAAATTAATGTTCAGCACGTCAAAGCAATTCATATTTAGGACTTTGTTAGATTTTCTTGCATAAACATCAGCAGGAAAATATTTCTTCAAAACAGCAATGTGCAAAGAACATATAATAGTGCTACAAACAAATATTCTAATTTGTTAGATTATTCTGTATTATTAAAATAAGTTGACAACTCCTGAGATTTTCTAGATTTTTGCATGAATTGGAAAAGCATTACATCATAAGAAACTGCAATAATGTAAATTAGACTCAAAGTCAAGTCAAGTTTATTTGTATTTCAGCAACAAGGCAGTTCAAAGGGTTTTACGTCATAAGAAAATATTAAATAGG